CCAATTCGAGTTGATACATCAGTATCATCTTCATAAGACGCATCGGTTTCATCCTTCTTGGAAGGCCAAGGTGTGATAATTTCACAATCATTAGAACCTTTGAGGTCTAAGCTGCTGCTTTTACTACCACCTCCATCCTTAGCCTTGGGTACTCCATATGACCTTATCACTGAAGACGCAGCTGTGGCCCCAGGACCAAAAGCAACTTGAGCTGAACGTCGAACATTAAAAGTAAGTGGAAGCCAGATGCACCATAATCTTAATCACAACAACAATGAAAAAGTAAACCACATTTCTTAATCTGGGTGTTTTTTTATTATCCATAAGTAAGTGCAATGAGTAGAGCTAAGGTGCTGATGATCATTTAAAACTCTCAAGAAGTACTTTTAATGATGTGATCACAAGTTTTGAGTTTAATTCCTACTGTGCTAATTGGTGCTATACTAAACCCAATCTCAGAATCTGGCAGAACTCTACGGCATAATGTATGAGTTGATAATAAGAGATCAAGAAATGATGAATAATTACTTTTCTTTCCAGCTTTAGGCCCTCTTCTTGTGAGATTCTCCTGTGAATTCACAGACAACGATGAATCAATATCCAATATCCACTATAAAATATAGCAAGTAACTGCTAAAAAAAGAACTAAATTGAAGTAATTTTTGACATCTTCTAACACATATATAACAGGTACAGATAAGCTAATTAATTGTGAAGTGGATTTTTTTTTTCAGGCATCTAATCCCAAAATCTAATTTTCTATGCCTCTCTCCTTTCTTTTCTCATTTTTTTTTTTAAAACGAGACTAAACAAACAGAATGTCCTTTTTGTTGTTTTTTCAACATCTTGAAAAAATGGAATTTTTTTAATTGGTTTTTGTTACTTATTATTTGAACTTTTGGGTTATTTCTCAAGTTTTGGCGCTAATAAGTATAAATAATCCCATATATAGTTCTTTCATAATCTACAAGAAAATAAAAAATTGTTTTTGAGAAGACCATTCTTGGAAATGTAAACGTGTAACCAAACAATCCCAAATGCATATTCCCAAACAGAGTCCCAGAGGCTATTATAATAATACCGTCCAGAGGGAAAAAAAAAAAAAAAAAAAAAAAAAAAAAAAAAAAAATTTAAAAAAA